TTTTATGATGCTGGGGAGACCCATTCAAACTCTGATAAGTGTTGCAGCTTCTGCCTGATATACTGTCCATTTACGTTGAGGCTTCTGTTCCTATCTCTCAATCTAATCTGCTGAAAAGTCAGAAAGAGTAGCCTTCTTGGGGTAAAAGCTAGCAATCAAACAAGTAACAACAGCAACAACAACAACAACCCAGCTAGGTTAAGGTAGTGGGCAAAGAGCTGGATTTGAAGTGAAGAAGACCTGAGTTCAAATCCTTCCTTAGGACACATAGTAGCTGTTTGACCCTGGGCTAGTCACTTCACCTGGTGCCTGTTTCCTCATCTATACAAAGATGAGGTTAGACTTGAGGACCTTTGAAGTCCCTTCCTGTTCTAAATCTGTGATCCTATGAGCTTATGAACACCTAGGGATGAGTGTAAAACTCTAGGATCGTAGAGGGCTAGGAAGGACCTTAGAGGTCATTGCTTCAGTCCCCTTATTTTATAAACAGATAAGAAAATTCTGCCCCAGAAAAATGAAATAACTTGCCCTGTGAGGTCACAGAGGCAATAAGTCACATAAGCAGGATTGGAACCCAGGTTTTCTGACTCAGATCCAGTGATCTTTCCTGGCCCTAGAACACATGGACCTCACTTTCCTAATCGGTAAAATGAATGGAGATGATTCCTTCTTCTTTGACATCCGTTGATACTGTGAGAGGCCATTGGAACAGAGGTGGGGGTGGGGCTAAAAGGATGACCACAGGTATTTCCCAGCAGGCACTGGGAACCTGTGATTCTGTAATGCTCAGCACTCTGAGCTTTTTTGAAGACTGGCAGGTGAAAAAGAACTGAGGTTGGTACCAGGAATAAACACCTCTGATGTCTCCATAGAGCAGCAGTAGCATAGTCAGATAAAAACAGAGGCCCTCCTATTGACTTAGAAAACCACATATTAACATTATCTGTGTTCTATTGTATTTTTATTTGTTTTGCTAAACATTTCCCAGTTTTAATGTGGTTCCCAAGTGCTTCTGAGTGTTGTAGACTTTGTGTTTGAAATCACTCCATCCTAGCGGAAGGATGTTCAGGGTCATGCAGAGAACGTCCCGGGGGGGGGGGCTGGTCCCCTTAGCCTCAGCGTCTGAGACCTCCTTTCCTGCATGACACTCGCAGCACACAGTCTCCTCCACCTATCCATCAGTTTTCTAGCTGAATCTGAGAGTCCCTAGCCTGAGAGCACCTCCTGCTGGGGAAAGCCTGGGAGTGAAGGACCTTTCTGAGCCCCCCCCCCTTTTTTTTGATTTTCAAAAACTGAGACTTGAAATAACCACAAACCATCATAGGATCATAGATTTGGAGTTGAAAGGGACCTTTGAAACTATCTGGGCCCACCCCCTCATTTTATAGATGAGGAAACTGAGGCCCAGAAAAGTGAAATAAGTTGCCCAAGGTCACATAAATAGTAAGTGGCAGGTATCAGATTTAAACACAGGTCCTCTGATTCCAAATCCAGGGCTCTCCCTAGCAAACAAATCTCCAGACAGGGCCAGTTCATAACCGTAGGGAGAGAGTCTCTTATGTTTCTAAGAATCTCCAGGGAAGGGGCTTCTACTGTGTCCATGTAGCGCCTCACAGATATCACTATCAGGAAACTCCTCCCTGTATCCTACTGCCTTTCTAAATGTCACTCCTTGAGGATAATCTACAAGCTTCAAACCCGTTGGTGAATTAGGAGGGTGTCTACCCCACCAGGTGAAGACGTCCCCCAGCAGAGTGGACAAATGGGAGCAATTTGTTCCAAAGGCCACTAAGGAGCGCTCGGTCAGACATTGGAGATGCCAACGTCATCCACTGAATCCTAGTGGTCCTGACTTTTGTCCCACCTCTCTGGAAGAGAGACTGAGGCTGGCAACTTTGCTTAGCTCTGCCTCATTTAAATCCAATTCACCTGCAAGCGAAGGCATCATCACTCTGAGATGTCATTGGCTTCCTTCGAAAAGGCACGATGAACAACAGCAAACTTCACTGCTTGTGTTCACCCCTGCCGATGTCTGTCTTTGGTATGGAGGGGGCAAGATGACTGTGGGACTGTGGACAGGGAGTTGGCTTTGGAGATGGAATATTTGGGTTTAAAACCCCACTGTGCCCCTTAACACTTGTCTGACTTTGGGCTTCAACTCTCTCGGTCTGTTTCCTCTTTATAAAATGAGGGGATTGGGCCATTTGGCCTCTGGGGTCCCTTTCAGTTCTAAAACTCCAAGCACGAGGCCGGGAGAGGATAATTGAGCCCCACTCCCCATCCTATTGCATAACAGAGAAAGTACTTCCGGAGTCCTGGCCCCCAGCCCAAGGGTCCTAAAGTCTATCTCCCAGGCATGAAGTAAGGCGGATGGGTTGGGCTTTTTGGGATTATGTTGGAGGTAAAAAGAAAGGTAGCCAGCTCTGGGCTCTTTTACACCCTCCCTGCCACACCCTAGTTCTCTCCAGGTGAAATCAAAGGCCTCCTAGAAGGGAAAAACACATTGCTAAAGGATGTGCTATAAGTGATGCTTGGACTTTGGGATGTGGATAAGTGCTATCTCCTCTGTAGACCTCAGTTTTCTCATCTGTAAAATATGAGATAGTGAAGGGGGTGGTGTCTGAACTAGATTATCCAGCAATGCACTTGCATGATACTATATCCTTTGCCTTGATGATGAGAGAAGGATTATGGGATTGATTATATATATATGAACCTCAAGTCATTTCTAGCATCTGTCAGCGGTCTCCTTTTTCTCTTCCACCGGTTGCCTATTCATCAGAAACTTGGCTTCCCCGAAGCAGAGGTCCTCATTGGACGGATTGGATGGATGACTCTGGCTCTTGGAAGAGCTGGGTAGAGGGGAGGGCTGAGGGACCTGGGGAGAATCGGAGGCTGCCGGATGACACCCCTCCCTCCCCTTGAGGAAAGCATGCGCCTTGCCCAGCTCTGTTGCTGCTGAGAAACTGGGAGAGCTGCCAGCGAGCAGAGACCAGGGAGGGAAAAGGGGGAGGGGGAAGGGGGAGCTGGAGCCTGCAGGACCATAGCCTCCAAGCTCTCTCACCAGAAACAGCCCCGGCTTGCTCTACAAGGCCTTCTTCCATGCTTCAGACCTTCCTCCCCTCCCTCCAGGGATCTCTCCGTTTCACCTTTTCCTCTGTCCTCTCTCTTCAGTCCAATGATTGTTGGGGGAATGGATTTGGGGAGGTGGGAAGTTTTTCTCAGCTGGTCTAATCTTACTCAACTGAAACTGTCACAGCGAGTGGATGGGAGAAGCAAGGAAAGGCATTAGGTCCAGAGCAGGGCCCTGCTGCTTTCAGATTTGCCAAGAGACACTGAACATGATCCATATGGATCAGAGGCAGAGAGAGACACCTCTTCTACCTGTGTGCGCTTTGCAAAGACACCTGGAAGTGGAACCAGGGGACATGCGTCAGAATCCTGTCTCCCCTAAGTACTACCTGTGTGCCCTTGGGCAAGTCATTTTCTTTCTCTGAGGGGAATGACTTTACTCATCTGTAAAATGAGCATATTGAATTAGATCAGAGGTGCTTAATTTCTTTTGTGTTGTGGATCCCTTTGACAGCCTGGTGAATCCTGTGGTCCCTTTCTCAGAATCATGTGTTTAAATGCATAAATAAAAATACAAAAGGTTACAAAGAAAACAAAAAGTTAATAAAAATAAAAACAATTTTTTTTTCTCATCCAAGTTCATAGATTCCATGAAATCTATCTAAAATCCCTTTGGGGGTTCAAAGAGCCTAGGTAAGGATCCCTGGATTAGATGATGTCTAAACACTGCCCCATTTGTTCTTATGAATTAGTGTGTGGCCAAGGTAGGTTGGGAAGGAAATGGGAAGGTTAATTCCCCCTCCACCCAGAGGTCAGAGCTGGGTTGTCAGCTTGTGAGCGTTTTTTGAAGGGAGCAACTGAATGTCCTTCATCTCGAGGACCAAGACCTTATTTGCCTGGCTTAGATAAATATTCAGGCTTGCCTGCAGACACAGAGATGGTTGGGATGATCTCTCCCAGTTTTAACCTGGGTTGTATAGGCTTAACAGTATTTCAGTTTATCCCTTCTCTCCCAGGCTGGAAGAGGAGATCCAGGATGAGTTCAGATGAGGAAGCAGGAACAGGGGCCCAGGGTTCAGGGTTTGGCATCCAAGATGGGACTGTGCATGGAGAGGGAGTATTGTGTTTGAGTGGGTGACTGAGTGTTTTTTTTTTTAAGCCCTGGGAGCGAGCTGGTGGCTTCTCCTCAAAGTAATCACATTGTGCTCTGGGGAGCAATATGGGAATTGGAGTGAGATCTGGAGGGAATCCATTCTCACACACACACACACACACACACACACACACACACACGCACGCACGCACGCGCACACACACACACACACACACACACACACACTCGCACCGCAGGCTTGGACCACAGTGTTACTGTGGTAGCTGGTCCCTTTACCGCTACTGCTGCTGTTTCTTGTGTGTGACAGGCTCAGCCCCAGTCTTAATTAAGCCTGCGTCTCTTTCAAGGCTCCGAGCCCTTAGAAGTTGTCTGCCTGGCATAAACCTCCCAGCGTGGAGCAGCAAGGAGCCCCAGCCTCACCGAATCTGTCAAGAGAGAGGCAGAGGTGTGCCGAGAGGCTGTCACTGCTGAGGGGAGGAGGAGAGGGGGCAGCCGAAGGGCTTTCCGGAGGAGGACGGGGAAGTCCAGACTGATTGGGAGCTTCCTGGAAGCAGCTCCCGGCTCCGACTTGGGACCTTGGAGAGATGCGGGCCCCTCGGCCTGGGGCTACTGACCCTCTGTCCTGCTGCTCTCTTTGAAGGAGGGGATGGGAGCCAGACTACCAGGGGCTCAGGAGACCCACGAAAGGAAGAGAGAGCAGAATTCTTGTCCCCCTCTTCCCTTTCCTCACTGTCCTTTCCTAAGGTCCCCTAAGGACCCCACATCCCCGTGTCCACTCAGAAGCTGGTTCCTGTGACAACATGACACGGTTGAGCTGGTGCTTCACCTGCGTAATCCGCTGGGGCAAGTATTTTTTCTCTTGCCTTCTGCCCCTCCGATTCTGTCTGCGAAAGAAGGTAAGCTGATGGAAATGCCCTTCCCGGATCTCCTAGGACTGGTGGGCGGTGACAGCTTCTCAGGCCTTCTGAGGCTCTCCCTGCCCTGCATCTTTCTCCTCCTCATCATCCCCAGAGAAAAAACATCAGAGATGGATGCATCAGTCTGGGTCTTCCCTGCCCTCAATAGCTCTGCTCAAGGAATCCCTTTGGCAAAAGCTAGGGAGGAGAATTACTGCCCCATTGAGACCAGCACATTCTACTCCATCACTGCTCACTTCAGGTACCCCAGCAGTACCCCAGCATTTGAAGCCAGAGCACTTTGCAGTTGGGATATGAATTGCGTTAATTGACACAGAGATGCTCTGGGGGATATGGAGATTTGGACACAGGCATTTCTGTTGGGTTTAGACTCCCCTCCCCCGAGTTTCTATGAGAGAGGAAGGGTCCCTGGAGCCCTTGGAAAATGCTTTTTACTTGGAAGGATCAGAGGTTCACCTCCCTAGAGCAAGAAGTAAACAAAGTAAGATGAGAAGAGGGAGATAAGTCCAGCCGGTATTTGATGAACATCACACACAATGTCAGATCAGTTCTGATGGTTTGAGGGACTGGAGAGTTGGATAGGGAGAGGATCAGAAGCTGGAGGGAATTGAGGGTGTAGAAGCCAGGTGGACGCTGTGAAGAGTGGCAAGGTCTGGGGGAGATGTGCAGAGGATAGGGAAATATAGACAGGAGCTGGGTAGACTCAGGGAGAGAGACAAGGGCCAGATTGCACTGGGTGAGAGGGGTATGAAATGGGGGAAGCTGGGCAGGGGCTACACTCCTTCAAGAGAGATAAGATTTAGGGTAACTTTGGGGAGAAGGGCAGCGTCTGGGGGGACATTAGGAGAGGAGCAGGAATGGCATTTGTGGACACTTGGGAGAGGATTGAAACTGGGGATACTTCACAGAGCAGCAGAAGCTGGTGGGTTCCTGGAGGACAGGGCACAAGCCAGGAAGATGCTGGGAAGCAGGGTGCATAGAGTTTCTTCGGGAATGGGATTGAATTTCCCAGCATAGCCCCTTTGCTAAAGAGCCCTTTCTTTCCACATTCATTCCTGGTTTAGGCTTCCCCTTGGCTGGGAGTGGGGGGTGGGAAGAGAGGGAGGAGATGGTGGGAAAGCCGCCTGGCTGGGGTCCCTTTTAGAAAGAACCATTTCTCATGTGGCTAGGAATTAACAACTGGAGTGGCAAGAAGCCAGCTGGGCATAGCGCCCAGGGAGCCCCCTAGGCTGAGAGAAGGTAGTATTGGGAGGGGAGAAGGAATCTGAAGGTTGTGACCACCTTGCTTTCTAATCTGCCCTGTATTCCTCTGGGAGAGCATGGGAAGATGCAGTGGGGGCATGAGCTGGGGAGGTAGGGAGGTAGGTCCGGGTAGTTTCCTTTACCTTAGTGGGTTCGTCTTTCCTTCCTTATGGGCAAGGCACAGTTGGGCTGAGCATGGTTTCACGTAGCCACAGAACACTGGAGATAGGTGGAACCTTGGTGATCATTCAGTGTGGTGCTGTCATTATACAGAAGAGGAAACTGAGGCGGAGAGAGGATTGTTACTTGTCTAAAGTCCTGTAGCTAATTCATGGTGGGGGAGGGATTAGGACCCTACAATTTGCGTGATGCCCAGTCTCTGCACAAAACTGACTCAGGCCTAACTCTGCAGCTTCATAAAGAGCTGGTGATGGGTCCTCCTCTTGACTGCACCACTCTCCCTCCCCCCATCTCTCATCTCCCCCCAACCCTTTCCACAATGTCAGAGGCAGTGGTGACAAGGGAGGGTTTGGACTTAGCACTCTGAGGTCCTGTGGGGATGATTTTCTTTCTAGTAGACTCCTGCCTCTCTGCTTAGCTTCCCACTCACTTAGCTGGCAGAGGGAAATGATGCCAGGCCACCCTTACTACCCCTTGTCAATGTGCTTTGAGATCCTCTAGCAAAAGGTGTTGTCTCCAAATCCAGTAATTGGATTGAAGGAATATAAAGGTGATTGTTTGAAATATATAAAGGTGGGGGGAAAGGTAGGGAAGAGATCCTTGAAGCCATTCCAAGTTTGGCTCTGAGTTCAAAATCTGCTGGACCCCAATTTTCAGTTTCCATTCCAGAGAGGGAAGCCTGCACTAGGAAATGGACTGTGAGAACAGATAGGAACCACAGGGTCTCAAATACCTCCCCACTCCCCATATCTTCCAGAGATCCTTCCTTTTTCCATAGAAGACAGAGACAGTTTGGATGGGAATTGAATCTCTTACTGTGATGGGCTGGTATTGCAGCTGCAGCTGGTTTCTTAGGTCTGGGGCACTTTTATATCTTGAATGGGCATTTCCAGGCCTTTTAATTTCAGACAGGAAATTAGAGCAGGGGAGCAGATAGAGATAGAGACAGTCATGCTCAGGGATCTTATTACAAAATTGTGGGAATTGTGGCCAGATCACAGACCCCCTCCCAGACCTATTCTTTGCTCTGAGCCCTGTCTTTGCCAAGGTTCGTGAATGGTAAGAAAGTAAATGACTCTCCTTCCCATGTCCCAGGTGAAGAAACCAAGGCACCGGAAGGAAAGTAGGAGAAGGGCCCTGGATGGAACCTAGGGGAGAGATCAGAGAAGTCAGTCCAACTTTTCCCCACCCTGTCCCAACTTTCCTAGTCTGAGGTCATCACCTAATGATAATAATAATAATTTCTAGCATTTATATAATACTTTAAGGTTTGTAAAATACTTTATGAAATATTATCTCATTTGATCCTCATAACAATCCTGTGAGGCAGAGGTGGAGAAGGGTTTAGTGACTTATTCAGAGTCATGCAGCTCTTAAGTGCCATGCATCAGGAACTGAACTGAGATCTTGGTGAATGACGCCAAACCTCATGCTCTACCCACTGTGCCATCCAGTTCACCCTTTTGTGTCTTGTGTGAGGGAAGAAGGAAGGAATAGCTGGGATGGAATCTTCGGGTAATCTGTAGATCCAGGGAAGGATTAGGAATGAGTATGCTCTGGAGGCTTCAGTCTTGGGAGCTGAAGTGTGCAGGGATGGGTTGGTCAGCCAGAAAAAGGAGGTTTGATAGGCAGAGGGGACCCAGCTGGACCTGGCAGCCCCGTGCGCTGGTCAGGCCTGCTCCGGTCCCACAGTGCCTATTAGAGGTGGGGGCTTTGGTTTTCCTGGTGCCTTTGCAGGCCTCTCCCCAGCCAATCAGGAGCCAAGATGAGGTGTTCTGCTGAGGTAGCCGAAGCCTCCTTGGATTCCCTCGCCTGCTTACTACCCCCCTCCCACTGCCCACCGGCTGCCAGCCAGGGCTCCATCTTCTGCCCTTGGCAAGCAGAGGGATGGAGCACTGTTTTAGCTCAGGGGTCAGGGAGTTAGCTCTACAGGTGGGGAGGCCAAGGAGTAATGAAGGTGATAGTAGCAGCTGACAGTTCTGCCCCAAGGTCTGTGGCTAAGACTTCCAGATCCTGAAATTTCTCCTGAAACTAAAGGTAAATCCCCAATATCTGTATCTCAGTTTCCCACTCTGTTCAGAAGAGGGGAGAGGCACTGGGAACAGCTTCCAGAATTTAGAGTCAGGAAGACCTGAGTTCTAATCTCTAATACTCAGTTTCCTCACATGTAAAATGAGGATGATGATAATTGTATTACCTATTTCACAGATTGCGGTGAGGTTCAAATAATGTAATGAATACAAAGCATTTTGACACCTTTAAAGTACTAGTGGTAAGCACTAGTTATATATTGCTATTATTGTTATCGTTTCTGGTTGTATCTGTCTCTTTGTGACCCCATCTAGGGTTTTCTTGGCAAAATTACCAAAGTGTTTTGCCATGTCCTTCTCTAGTTCATTTTACAGATGAGGAAACTGAGGCAAACAGGATTAAGTGACTTGCCCAGGGTCACACAGGTAGGAAGTGTCTAGGGCTAGATTTGAACTCAGGAAGATGGGTCTTCCTGACTCCAGGCCCAAATCTATCAACTTTGCCACCTAGCTGCCTTATATTACATATTATATATCATTATATAATGTTATCATATTTAGAATTGATTTTAAATTCTAGTTATTTTGGATTAGATCCTCTGGTCAAGTCACACCCTATTTCTGTGCTTCAGTTTCCTAACGTGTAAAATGAGAGGGATTGGGCTAGGCTATCTTTAAGGTCCATTTCAGCTTTAAATTCTTGGAAAAGTATGAAAAGGTCAGTCTTGCTAAACCCTAGCTTTGAGTCAGACCTGTGCGGTACAATCTGGAGGACTATGAGGGAAAGCAGTAATGACTGGGCTATATCCTTCTAGCATTAATGGAACTGTGATGTGAAGGAAGAGAATTCAGTTAGCTCTACAGGTGGGGAGGCCAAGCATTCTTTAAAGTTCTCAAAATGCTTTGTATACATTGTATTATTAGAGCCTCAAACCACTCTGCAAAGTAGGTAATACAATGATTATCATCTTCATTTTGCAGGTAAGGAGACTTGAATCTTAAGGAAGTAAAGTGACTTGCCCAGAGTCACACAGTTAGAAAGTACCAGATAGTTCATGTCAACCAGCTGTTTTCCAATTCCTTTGGAGACAGCAGGAAGAAATAGCTCGACATTCTACAAGAAAGATGGAAGTCAGATATCAATGAGAGTGTTCTGAAAGCCATTGGCCTGTGGTATGGAGAGGGATGATGGAGCATCCATCTCCTTTCCTGGAGCTCTCTCAGCCCTGAAGAGGCTCCCTGTTGGTATGGGCTGGGTGGTGGGGGAGGCACCTTCTCTAGAGGATTGTTGAAGCCCTCCCCTGATTCACCTTCATCCTTTTTTCTGGACCAGTTCTATCTACTGAGTATAATGTGGGACAGGGAGGTCTGTGCAAATTGGGCAAAGAAGAGAGGGCAAAGGTGACTCTTTGTGAAGATGGACACACTGGGGTGGTGGAGGGTGGTGCTCCAGCTCTTTGGGGTTCTGAGCAGAGGGAGATCAATCTGAGGATCAGGCTTAGAGCTGGAGGGGACCCTAAGAGCCAACTAGTCCAACTGTATTGCATTTGAGAAAATTGAGGCCTAGAGGTCTTCTGGGGCTTGTTTTAGACCATTTTACAGTTGAGGAAACTGAGGCAGACAGGTTAAGTGACTTGCCCTGGGTCACACAACTAGTGAGTATTTGAGGTCCTATTTGAACTTCGGTCTTCCTGATCCCAGGCCCAGTGCTCTGTGCACTATGGAGTCCCCTAGCTGCCTCACCCAGCTCCTCCCAAACACCCAGGAAGGTAGGGACTATTATTATCGCCATTTCATAGTTGAAGAAACTGAGGCAGATAAAGATCAGGTGACTTGTCCTGGGTCACACAGGTAGTGAAAGACTGAGATCAGATTTGAACTTGGATCTTCCTGACTCTAGGACCAGCACTCTGTCCAACAGCTTCCTCACCTAGCTGTTGGGGTATGGAGATCCAGAACTGGAGGACCCTACAATTATCTAGCCCAGCCTTAGACCATAGGGTTAAGGGTAGGATGGGAAGGAGAAGAGTTATTTCAAGATGTCTCTGAATCCATATATAAATAGATATTTTCTTACTCAATGGATCCTGTTAGTATAATTGCTACTATATAGAGCCCCCTGAAATTTTTTGATGATAGAAAGTAAGAAGTCCCAGAAGGGCTCTAGCAGATTGGTAGACTTTTGGGAAAACCTGGATAAGTTGCACAAGATGGGCAGGCATGGATGGGTCTGCATTGTTGGAGGGAAATTCTGAATTGATAAGATCCCAGGTCCATTTGAGTGGACAAAGGCTTCATACTAGGAAAAGTTTGGGGACCACTGTCCCATCACATTTCTTGTCCTTTCCCATTCATACCTGAACTATCTCCACAGCCTCTTAATTTGGCTTCCTTTTTCAGATCTCTCTCCTATTTCAGCCCGTCCAATAATCTGCTTGTAAAGGGTCATCCTTCCCCACTCAATAAATTCTAGTGGATCCGTATGAGCTCCAGGAGCAAATATAAAAGAGCCTGTTTGGCTTTTAATGACTGCACTTTGCAACCTGGTCCTTGGTGTTCCTCACACATGACATTCAGTCTCCCAACTCTGCCTTTCCACATTGTCCCCCATGCCTGGCAGGGTCTCCCTTTTCATTTTCACCTCTGTTTCCCTAACTTCCTTCCAGGTGCATCTCAAATCTCACATTCTGAAAAGGTCTTTCCAGGTCTCTCCCTCTCTCTCCCACTTCTGAGTGTCCCCATTCACACTATACATATCTTGTATGTACTCCTCCCTGCCATGAATATGCATTTGTATTTTATTTTTTCCAATTATATGTAAAAACAATTTTTAACATTTCTTTTTTTTAAACTTTGAATTCCAAATTCTCTCCCTCTCTCCCTTCCCCCCCCCTCGAGAAGACAAGCAATTTTATATAGATCATATGGTATGTACTTACATTTGTATGTTTTCTCTCCTCCTTGAAGGCTGGGTGTGTGTTTTTGCCTTTCTTTGTATTCCCAGCACTTAGCACACTGTACATAGTAAATGCTTAATATGTGCTTACTGACTGACTGGCTGGAACTATTATTGACTGAGCCCATTTTACAGACAAGGAAACTGAGGTCTGTAAAGGTGACATAACTAGCTTAAAGTCTCACGGTGGGTAAATAGCAAAGTCAAGTTTGAAATCCAGGTCTACCTTCTTCCTCCCAATGTTGCTTGACCTTTAGAATCTATTTTCAGTGGAGGGGAGCAGGGGTTAAAGTTTCTAGGGGGGAATGAAGAGCTTTTAGCTATATCTCAGTGATTATTTGTAAAGCACAATGGAAAAGTATGGTTAGCCCCATTTCACAGGCAAGGAAGCTAATGTAGTCAACATGGGATGGTGGGTGTATGGTGTGTCAAGTGAGTAACCAACAGGATGAGCTGATAGGAGTTCAGAAAAGGAGATGCCAGCACAGACTGGGGAACAATTCAGAAGGGCTTCGAAGAAGGGCTTTGGTTGAGCTTTGAAGAATGAAGGATGAGTAGATAGGATTTAGTTGATGGGAAGGCAGTTCGTGTAGGGAGGTGATGTGACCAGGGGCTCAGAAGTGGGGCTGCATCAGGCTTTTCAGGGACCATCTAAGAGGAGTCCCATCTGGCTAGAGTAGAGCGTTGGGGCCAGGGAACAGGGAACCAGGTGGGGAGAGTTGTTGGGGTGCAGTTGTTGAAGGGAAGAGGAAGTGTCTAGGGCATCTTTGATGTGTAATTATTTTATATATTCAGAGATTCCTGAGATTTCTGGGGCTTAGAATAAAACACGAGGGTTGATTATTAGGCACCAGGAAGAATTTCCTGACATGGAAGGGATATAAAACATCTGCAGAGTGGCGTGTCATAGTGAAAAGAGTGTGCTTGACTCAGTACCCGGTGGTAGAGTCTTTATTTTGAAACTTCCCAGCTGTGTAACTGTGGGCAAGTCACTTAACCTCTCTGTTCCTCAGTTTCTTTCTCTGTAAAATGAGGACAGTAATACTTGTGGGCAGCTAGGTGGCACAGTGGATAAAGCAATGAGATGGGAACCAGGAAGACTCATCTCCCTGAGTTGAAACTCGGCCTCAGACACTTATTCTCTGTGTGACCCTGGGCAAGTCACTTAACCCTGTTTGCCTCAGTTTCCTCATCTGTAAAATAAGCTAGAGAAGGAAATGGCAAGCCACTCCAGTATTCTTTGCCAAGAAAACCTCAAAAGGGGTCACAATGAGTTGAACACGACTAAAGAACAAAAATAATACTTGTATTTCTACCTCACAGGGTTGTTGTAAGTCTTCAAGTGCTATATAAATATGGATTACTCTTATTATAATGTGCTTCCTTGGGAAATCTTTTGCCATTGGGAAGATACCCCTCTGCTTTGTGGGGGAGGGAGGCCAAGGAAGGAAGGAAGATGGGTGGTACCTTTAGGAGGCAGGGTCCGGACTGGGTGACCTCTCAAGGTTTCTTCAAACCTTAGACTTCTTTATCTATCACTGTAAACCATAATGTTGGGGGCCTGGGGGTGGGGCAGCTGCTGGGGAAGGAAACTGCCTGGACTTTAGGAAGTAGAGCCAGGGAAGGTGTCACAGAGATACTGCTTTTTGTCTGGCTGGCTTTTTCCAACACTTCTGGGAAGCTCAAAGGTGATTTCTCAGAAATCCAGAGATAGCGAGAGAAGCAAAATCTCTGTGACGCAAGCAGCAACTGCTGGGTGGCAAGGAGGGGACTCTGGGATAAAGGCAAGTGGGGGCTGCATGCACATTAGCTGCCCCCCTGGCAGGACAGAAGCTGGTGGGCACTGGGAGTCAGGCTGCTGGGGGGGGGATGCAGGGGCTCAGTGACCCAGAGTCACGATAGGATGCCCCTTGCTTATTCTCCCACTTTCTCCTCCCTGCAAGCCTCTGATGGGAGAGAAGAAGTGTCGGATCTCCTCAGGGGGGACTGCATAGCCAGCCAGAGAGGGGAACCTTGCAGTGTGTACAACTGCAGTGTTGGCTCAGCCATCAGTCCCTACCCCCATCCTTACGCACAGACCCTGGGCATGGGACTGGGTGAGAGGCTAGGAGAAAGATCTGCAATCTGGTGGTGGTGAGGTGGGGGAAGTCCTTTGGGTTTCTGCCAACTCTCTGCTAATTCTACTGTCAATCAGCCATCAACAGCTCTGCAGAAGGGTTTGGGACTCCCCTATCCTCAACTGCTGCATACAGGAATACAGTCTCTCTCATGCCTAAGCTTCTGCCCAGTACCAGGGGCCAGGATTGGGGTTCCTGTTGTTAAAGCATTGTTTGAGCATAGAGCTGGAGAATAACAGAACCAGAAGGGCCCTCAGAGGTCACCTGTCCCACTTTACAGATGGGGAAGTCGAGGCTCAGGGAGGGGGAAAAATGATCTGCTCAAGTTCATACTAATAACAGCAGAGCTGGGAGTAGGACCCAGGTCTCCTGATGACCAATCTGGTGCTCTACTGCCCACTACATCTCCCTTTCCTCTGCTTTTTCCTTTCCCTGTCTGTGTTGATAAGTGTTCCTCTGACACTTCAGGGTTTCCTTGGCTGGACAGACTGGCTGAGCCATGGGCTGGGAGCCAGCACACCTGGGTTGAGTCAGGGCCCGAGTGGGAATACGGATTGTAGAGGAGGTGATCTGGACTTTGGGAATCCCAATGTGTGACGTGATAGAAAGAAGGGTGATGAGGTGAGAGTGCATGTGAGTGTCAGAGTGTGGCTATGTTCAACGGACACGTACCACCAGCATATAGTCAACATGTTTGCCAAAGCGTTCAGGCATCTAGCCAAGCGTGTTTGTTTGGGTCTTTATGCCTGGGATGAGTGTAAGTGTGTATCCACAAAGGTAGGGATGGAAAACCTCTCAGTTTGTCACTGAGGATAGCTTTGTGTGTGTAAACTTGTGTGTTTGTGTGTGTATGTGTGTGATTTTGTGTGTGTGTGTGTGTGAGAGAGAGAGAGAGAGAGAGCTAGCATATAAGAGATGGATGAAAGGATTTCTTTTCTATTTTTCCAACTTTCTGCTCTCATATGAAGTGTTAGTGTGAGCTGAAATGGTACTTGGAGTCAACATGTGTGAATGTGTGTGTGTGTGTGTGTGTGTGTGTGTGAGAGAGAGAGCGCGAGAGAGAGCGAGCTAGCACATAAGAGGTGGATGAAAGGATTTCTTTGCGATTTTTCCAACTTTCTGCTCTCATATGAAGTGAGTTAGTGTGAGCTGAAATGGTACTTAGGAGTCAACATGTGTGAATGTGTGTGTGTGTATGTATGTGTATGTGTGTGTGTGTGTGTGTGTGTGTGTGTGTGTGTGTGTGTGAAAGGGTGTGTGCCTATGTGGCTGGGCTTGTGCTTCAGATCCTCCTTATGCTCAGGGACTTCTACTTGGAACTGGGTGGGTGACTCACCAGTCCCCACCCACCCTTGCTCCCAGCCATGTTAAAAACTTGGAAAGATTTATTTTATTTTTCATTTTTTGGAAGGGGATGGGATAGGGAGGAAAGGAGACAATGAGGGCAAGGGTGGGGGTGGGCGATGTTATTCAGTTTTGTCAGATTCCCATGCAGTGCTGTAGGGAGAGTCTGGATTCTGCATCCCACTTCCCCCCATCAGTCATATCCCTGAACATCGATGTCTTAAAACTGGGGATGTGGCAAGAGCAGGAGGGGAGCTGAGGTTTCAGAGGGCACTAGGGGAAGAATGAGAACTGGAAGGATAATTGATGGAAGTGGACAAGGATTGGGGGGCACGAAGGGCTAGGGAGGATACCAGGGATGAGGAGCAAGAACTAGGGGAACACGGATGGAGAGGGGAGGGCAAGAGGCTGGAGGCCATTGAGCAGAGAAAACTTAGAGCCGGTGGGCACTGGGGAATCTCAGGGGGAGGGGGGAAGTGAGGGAAGGAATTGGTGGGAAAGAGAGACCTGGGAAGGAGAAGAATTGGTGGGGGGTGAAGGAGGGAGAGGAGGAGGAAGAGGGGAAATGCAAACCAAATGTTGGCCCAGAGAAGAGTAAAGAATAACAGACTCGCGGGAGACTGGAGCGGGGCTCCCTTCAGGAAGGGAAGGGCTGGGACAGATGTTTAGAGAGAAGAAAGAAAGAAAGAAAATACTGGGGAAAAGTCCACAGATTGGAATGTGTGGGGGTGAGTGGGAGGGGGAGCGTGGAAGTGATGGGGAGGGCCACTTACCATGCTGACCAGGGCCTGGCATTCTCTTCTAGGCTCTCTGTGAGTGTGGATTGTCAGTTGGTCCTGGGTGTGTGTGTGTGTGTGTGTGTGTGTGTGTGTGTGTGTGCTGGCTCGGGCATTTGTGACTTCACAAAGCTGTGAGTGTGTGGGAGTAAGTGGGGGACTGTCCTGCTGTGGAGGAGCTGTCTTTTGATCTTTTCTCACAGTATCAATATGCTGTTCCATTTCTACCAGGCAGAAGGGGAATGTAGCACACTGACTTCCATCTTTCCCTACCATCACTTCACTGGGCAGCCCTGAAGTTTAAAGTCTCTAGGAAATCAGAGCGGCTGCCAAAGTGGGGAGGAAGAAGTTGGGGGGGGTGCAGATCTCAGAGGGATGCAGGTACATGTATACGGGTGCTTGTGAATGTGTGTGTTTGTGTGTGTGTGTGTGTGTGTGTGTTTTGGGGGGTTTCAACTGGGGACAGATGAATGAATCTTTGCCACCAGACCCCTTCCCTCTTCCCTCTTCTTTTCACTCATGAAGAAGTAAGGGAACTGACCTGAAACTCCACTAGAAGGGCTGGGAAAGACAGAGAAAAAGGAGGCAGGGACAAGGGGGTGGGAGGGGGGAGGAGGAGGGAGAAAGAGAGGGCTGGCTGCAGGGAGGGAAGGAAGGAGGGAGAGAGGCAGGCAGCAATCGCGGCCAGACAGATGCTGTCTCAGTGAAGAGAGGCAGAGGACTGAGGAGTGGGGGGGTGTCTCTTCTGCCTTGTCCTGCCCGGTGCAGCCTGGCACAAGCGGTAGTCTGAGGAAGGGCAGGTCTTCAGGCTCCAGGGTGTGACCCAAGAGACGGACACGGCTAGAAGATGACGTGGATCTGTCTGTCTTGTATGCTTTGGGTAGGTCGGGTTTTCTCAGCTTTGGGGGTCATTCCCTCCCCCTGCTTCCACTTCATTCCTGGCCTGATTTCTCAGGTAGGATACCTGGAACCCAGGGAGATTAGAGAACCGGTCAGCGTTGGTGGTACGTGTGGGGCTGGAGGATGGCTTTCTCCCTCTGATCAACATCTGGATAGGTTGCAGAAAGTTCCAGGAAAAGAATCCCCCACATCTTAGCAACCTCTTCCCTTGTTGCTGTGTGCTTGTTGACTTGTCCTTTTGGCTAATATATAGGACTTCCCCGCGGGGGGGGCCCTCACACCCATAGCCATAGCCAGAACTATTCCCACCCCTTCCCTTTTCCTAGGCAGAGGCTACAAGGTATCCTGGAGTGGCATGGAGGAGATATTCCCTCACCCCTCTGCACCCCTGCTCTGCCTGGGTGTTTGAAAGTCCCCTCCAAGCTCCAGTGGCTGCCCAGTTCTCTGTGGATGGGTGGATGCACTGGGGACTGAGGGCAGGTTGTGCATGTGGAGGGACATGAGGGGGGTGGGGTGGAGAGGGTGTCAAGCATCGTCCTGGAAAATCAGAGTAAAATCAGGGCTGGAGAGAATTCCACTCTAATTCCATCACAGGCACACTCTTGACCATGACCTCCAGTGTTCCCTTCCTCCATGGGGATTTTGCCTGCGTATCCTCTACCTCTCAACCTTCTCAGGCTAACTCTACTATCCTATACTAGGTCATGGATTCTCTCTCTCTCTCTCTCTCTCTCTCTCTCTCTCTCTCTCTCTCTCTCTCTCTCTCTCTCTCTCTCTCTCTCTCTCTCTCTCCTCTCTCATTCCTACTTTTTTTTGGCCCCCAGTGCAGATATGTGCAAGGAGACTGGGAATAGGGCCTATAGCCCACATGGTCCAGGTAATTCCCATCGTTCCTGGGCAGAGGTTTCTGGGAGTGCAAAACAGGGTTAAGGAGGGAATGTGGTAGGGATGGAATGGGGGAAATGGGTGGAGGGATAGGGGGAGGGCAGAGAGGAAGAGAGATTCCTAGCAGTATGGCCAGACTGCAGAAAGACCCCTATAGAGGGGTCTCCAGACATATCACCACCCCCTTCTCTCCATGGGTTGGCTGAGAGAAAGCCCAGAATTCAAGAAAGGTCAGGGAGGTGAGAGAGCTATTGGGGAATAACCTTAGGCAGGGTTAACTTCAGAGTCTGAGAAAGAGATAGGAGTTTCGGAGTTCTGGTGTCCAGATGTTGAGACGCCTCTGCTGGGAGGGCCAGGATATCCCACCTTGTTTGCAGGAGTGGGAGCTGGGGGTTGGTTCAAAGAATAGGGAGACCTCTCCGTCTGGGTCCAGGGGAAAGACTATCTTGTCTTCGGGTTGGGGTAGTAGAGAAAAATAGAACTTGAAGCCACAAATTTGGGCAAATGGTGGTGGTGGTGGGGTGATGATATTCTATGATTGTGAGTGTTTTTAACCCCTAGGAGAGATGCTGGCAGGGATAGAGTCAGTTGGCTTTGTAGGGCTGTTGGAGGAAAGGATTGGAATGGGGGAGGTTGGAGGGGGTGGAGTGGGAGGCAAGGGGATGGGAGCTGATTAACCGGCTTCAAATCTCTGGGGTCCTGCTACACAGAGGCTGGAGAGCAGCTGGTTTTCATCTCCACCAAAGCTGAAACATGAGGAAAAGGGGTTGGCACTTCTGTAATAGGAGGGATGGAGGTTAGACTTCCTGTACACTCTTTCCTTGGAAGCTTTTGAAAGAATAGGAGAGAACCTCTCCCCCTTCCCACTTGCCCGGCTCCCACCTCTCAATGGGGAAGGACAACTGGAGGAGCCCATTCTACCAAGGGGATAAATGAAGTGACCTTGGGAGGGTCTAGCCAGCCCTTTATATCTCATCCTGTCCCAAATCAAGATGTCCAAGTCTGGGATTTCCTCTCCTCTCTGGGTCAGGGGTGTGTCCAGCCCTGTTCCAGAGCCCCAGAGGCCCTCAGGCCTGGTCTTTAGCGTCTTTCTCCTTCAAGAGGAAACTCACTATTTGTTTTTTGCTTATTTGTTTTGTCAGATGCATCAATAACCCCCAAAGGAACAGGAATTTTCCTTAAAAATAAAATCTTTTAAAAAAAATATCTTTTTCTTCTTGCTATCTTTTGATTGTATATTGCCTAATTTTCCCCTATATCCCTCCTTTTAGCCTCTTCCAGGAAGCCATCTCATAAAATTGATCTAAAAAAATAAGAGGAAAAATTAGCAAAACTGATCAACAAATTCGAGAAAATCTAACACTATGTACAATGTTCCACATCCATGGGGCCCCTGTCATTTGCCCCTCTACTGCAAGGAGTTGGAGAAAGAAAACTGTTTTTTTGGGAAAATCGCTTTCCACTCTAATTGTTACTATATTTCACCTCTCCCCCTAGCCAGGATGGTCCCTCCCCTGGACCTAGACACAGGTGGCTCTTGGTTCAGAGACACCTTTAGCATTCTGACCCTGATGCTGAGCCATTTAGATGCCTGGCCCTAGAATCCCTATAGCTCTTCTTCAGACTTTGACATTCACTATTCTATCTGGATGTTACACCTCCTTCCTCAAATTCAACCTGCCCCGAGCTCAGCACCTCCAAATCTTTCCCCTTAAACCTGCTCCTCTTTCTGGCTTAGTGGTTTCTCTCTGATACAAAAGTTCCTCCAGGGCAGGGACTGTTTCATTTTGTCAGCCCCTGGCGTCTAGTAGGTGATGCTTGTTTATTATCTGTGGCACCGCCTAGTCTCCCACGTACCCAGTGTTGGGGTCATCTTTAGCCCTTTGTTTGTCCTCACCTCCCTATAGTTATCAAGTCTTACTGACACCGTCTCTCATGCCCATCCCATTCTGTCACCACTCCAGAGCAGGACCTTTTTCCTTATCCATTCCCTAGATTATTGACCATAATAGCTTGCTTGAGGATCATAGATTCTGAAGTTGGGGCCAGATCTAGAAGAGATCAAATATTTCAGCTTACTCATTTTATTTTATTTTGTTTTTAAACACATCTTACTGATGCCTTTTGTTTTATATCAGTCATTTCTAGATAGTTCCTTCTTCCCCAACCCCTATGCCCAGTGAGCTTACCCTTTTTACAAGGAAATTTAAGCCAGCTCCCTCATCTGACAGTATATACAACACAGCACATCCATAGCCTCCCCCCCCACCTCATGAAGAATAATAACAATAATGGTATTGATATAACACTATAAAAGGCTTGACAAAGGAAAGCTATTATATTGAAATAGTTATCAAAATATTAAAAGTCGATGGATCCTCTGAACTTTATCTCATTTTATCTTCACAACAAGCCTTATCCCCCTTTTACGGATGAGGAAACTGAGGTTGAGAGAGATTAAGTGACTCTCCCAAGGTCGCATAGCTAGTAAAGATCTGAGGTAGAGTCTTCCTCAACTGAAATCTAGCTCTCTGTGCACTAGGCCAAAAGTCACTTTTAATCTACTGAAGAGACCTGGAAAGTCTAATCAGAACAGGGTGAGAATTCTTCCTATTTGGCTCCTGCTAGACTCTCTTGGACTGTTAGATATACTATAACGGAATAGTTTATACTTAGAGGTCAACTAGTCCAACCTCTTAGGTTTTTTTGTTTTGTTTTTGCTTAGGTATTTGGGGTTAAGTGACTTGCCCAGGGTCACACAGCTAGTGGTAGGTGTCTGAGGCTGGATTTGAACTCAGGTCTTCCTGACTCTAAGGCAAGAGCTCTATTCACTGCACCACTTAGCTGCCCCTCAACCTCTTGGTTTTAAAGAGGCAGAAGCTGAGGCTGAGTTGAAGTTACTTGACCAAGGTCACAGAGGTAATGAATGGCAGAGTCAGGATTTTACCCTGTGTCCTATGAGGCCAGCAGAACCAACGTTGTTTCTTTTTCTTTTCTTTCTTTCTTTCTTTCTTTCTTTCTTTCTTTCTTTCTTTCTTTCTTTCTTTCTTTCTTTCTTTCTTTCTTTCTTTCTTTCGTGTGGTAATTGGGGTTAAAGTGACTAGCCCAGGGTCACATAGCTAGTAAGTGTCAAGTGTCTGAGGCTGCATTTGAACTCAGGTCTTCCTGACTCTAAGGCTGGATCTCTATCCACTGCTCCACCTAGCTGCCCCTAAAAGGCATTTTCTTGAGAGTTGATTGCAGCCCCTGCATTTTACAGATGAGTGACTTGTCCAGGGTCACAT